GGAAAAAACCAACAAACATCTCTTTTGTTCTTCGTTGTAAACTGAGAAATAAATTGAGAATGATTTAACAAGAATACTCACGGATTTGGAGGGTTGATATAATGAATAGCTACTCTTCCTTCAATACTTCCAAGGGCAAATCCAGTAGGCTTGTTCACTTTGTCTTTGAAAATAGCAACGCAGCGATGCTAGATTTGAGGAAGAGAGCATTTTAGAAATTAAGGAGGTGGCAATTTATTTTAATATACCACCATAATAAACATCAAAGTAGGACATGTGCCACACCGAAGGAAAGTACTCCACCTTTGACATAATTTGTTGCTTTTTTTTTTAAAGAACAGCAAGTACATCATTTCAACAATCTGTACAAATGCACTTGTATCGAATGTAACTCTTTACCTGGTGTTTAAGAGGTGATTCTATTCTTCTAAATTCAGATGGCTGGTTCTCTAACTGATAAACTATCAAACCCCTTTCTGCGGTGGCCACAGCAGCCATAGGATGAACCTAGATGAGTTATAAAACAGGTTGGAAGAGAGGCAGTGGTGTTCTTAGCATGACAGAGAACTCAACTTATTATTTCACAGAAATCCTGAAGAATTTTACAGCACCAGACTTCTTTTTGGGGAGGTAGGAAGAAAAGAGTTCACCTGCAGGCGGATCTTCCAACAAGTCAGCTCTCCACTGCCACTGAGAGCCTTACCAAAACCCCCTCATCATTGGATGACCCTTCCAATGTGAATTCCAACAGTGGTATACAACCTAATCTGCAAATAAAGCAAGGCCAGTCCTACTGCTGGTTTGCCTTTGGAATGTTACAAGCACACCAAGCCTTTGTCTCTTCACTTTGTATGCTGCAAATATCTGTTTTCTGGAGGTTGGATCAAGAACATCAACATTAGTGTTGTCACTAAGATCAGAGGTCAAATACTAACAGCCAGCACTCAGTGTGAACCAACAAAAGCCCCACACAGCCACTTCACTCCTCCCCGCAGCCATCCAGCTGACTCTCAGTTTACTACACATCACAGCTCACCACATCTGCACAGTAACATCTTTCAGGGAGCTGCAGAGTCATCATAGGCGTTGGTGAACGGGTATCCCAGAACTGATGGAAAGAAAGCAAAACAAACAGAGCTCAGAGTTGAGCAAATAGTACCAAGCTGATTCATTCTTGTCAGACACTACAACTCTCTATGAAGTGAAGTCACTGCACTGATCTGTTCTTGAATCGCGTGTTTAAGAAAATATTTTCCCTCTGATAAATGCTGCCATAAACAGATTGTCAGCACACTCTGCACCTTGTTTGGGTAAAAGTTGTACCTTCAAAGTTTTATCCCAGCTTCCTGTCATCACACAGCTGTAATTTGGTGCTTTAATCCAGTGGATGGTCTTCACAGGAGCTTCGTGCTGAAGAAGAAAAAGCACACACTAGGGCAACGACCCACGTTTCTTATTTATGCTCCTCATATTTTTGTATTTACACTTTTTAAACCATTCAAGAAAATCTCTCTCATATTAGTATCTACTTTAGAGACACTAAGCATTAGCACACTCAGCTAACAAGGGTAGCTTTTAATGAAGGAAAAGAAAAAACTACACAATAGCATGGGACTTACTTGTGCAATCTGAATAGCCTGATTACTGTTGAGATCCCACATTTTGGCTGTTTTATCACAGGAAGCAGTAAATACTTTACTTCCATCCTGAAAAACAAGAGAAAGCACAAGAGAAAAAATATCTGCATCAGAAAACTGTCATGTCTTACTCTGTTCCAGAATATAACAGTAATGTAACACATAAAGGCACTGCAAGACAAACAGAAGAAACAAAAACAGAAAAGAAGAAACAAAATAGAAATTTCTTTATGAGTCTGTGTAACAGTGGCACACTCAGCAATGCCACCTTCAACTTGGAAACAGGCATTCCTCCGTGCCTGCCCACTACTGTTTCTTCACACCTGTATGTTAGTAACAAAGATAAGGCCCCAACAAACAGTGATTATTTGCTCCAATATACAGAAAAAAGTATTCAGTATCTAGCTAAAAGCTTTTCAAAGGAAGGGGGAAGGGTAGTTGATTTTGGCACATTCTTTTCTGTTGTACTCTGGGCCATTACTCCAACAATACCCATAACAGCCTTTAAACATTCTGCTGGTCAAATCATCACTAGCCCATCTGTGTCCCTTTGCTGTAAATAGCAGAAGGCTGTGAGGTTGGTAAAATCTTCACAAAAACACTGTATTTCTGTATTGTGAAATATAAACAACACACAATGGAAACTCAGCTTAAAATACAGCAGCTTAGATTTAAGGTTCTCCATTCAAGGCTTTTTCCCAATTTTCTTTTAAGCCCAAAGAGAAAGCTGTGCTATTACCTAGCTTTAAATACACTTTCACTTTTAAATACACTTTTACCTCCTATCTGCCCATCTCAGCCTCTTCTGTTAGAGCATGCTCAGCACACAATCACAGTAACAGAAACGTATACAATGATCATGGGATGCATCTACATCTATACTTATGTTTCCAGAAAATACGTGCCCATTTATTTAGGCTTACAATTAAATGCCACTGTTTATTTTTAAACTGAAACATACATCACTCCAGCAGCCATCCAGTACAGGCCCTGTGTGCATCTGCTGAGCCTTCGGAATCGTCTGCCCGTTATCCTGAACTTCCCAGCAGCGAACCTGGAACAGGAGACACAAATACAGGTGTAACATAGAGATGTAAGACTACAAAGTTAAAAGAATTCTCACCCTGAAGATTTCTCATCTTGAAGATGCTTAGCTGTCAGCTAGGAGCAAGCTGTTGCAGGCCACCAGCCACCAAACCAAGCAGAACAGTTAAAACCTCCACTCGCATTTCAGTCCTACTCTCTCTTTGTGTTGGTTGGGAACACACACTCCAAATCCCAACAGAAATTTCAGTAAGACTGTAAGAGCCTCTTCTCTTTGACACAAACCTGTCAAACCAGCTAAGATTTATCCGCATTCACAGCTCTTCCACTGGGCAAAGTATGATAGTCTAATTGCACAAGAAAATGAATCTTCAAAAGTCAAAATAACAAAAACCCAACAGAAGAAATACTGATTACGTGTTCTGAGCTGAAACTTAAAAGCCATAGGGAGAGGAATGACTAACATGAGCTCACAACTCCATCTCCCAGCTGAAGCTGCCATATCAAAGTACGTGGTGCCAAGGTGTTAAGACACATTTTGCAATGGAAGAGGAAGACTTCCAGCTCCACGGCATAAGCTCTAAGGACCACATTTTGCACTGTAGGCCCCGATGCTTTTACTTTATTCATCTGTAGGCCTGACTGTGGGTACTCACATCATTTGCCCACGATCCTGCAATAAGGAAATTGCCCGGCAGTGTTGGTGGACTGAACGCTAAACAAGATATGCTGTCATCGGGCGGAGATGTGACCTCAATATCCTATAAGAAAACAAAAGACATAAGATTAGCCACATTTGAGAACCGTGACACGGAAACCTTTACCTCTGTGGGGTTGGCGGGGGTGCAGCACTGCGAGCACACAGGGCATGGCTTCCAGGGGCTCACATACGCGCCTTCATCGGGTTGTGGTTATCTGCAGTCGTGCTGCCGAACATGCTGGTACCGCCGGTACCGAACCCGGACGTGGAGCCGAACAGACTCATCCTCGTTCTGCAAACGAGAAAGCGGCCCGGTGAGAAGCGGAGGGGACACCAGCGGGACAACGAAGTACCGCATCCCGAGAGACCCCGCCCCGCGGTGCTATGGGAAGCCCGCTATTTCCTCTCAGAGCCCCGAGCCGACGGCAGCCCGCTCCCGGCTCCCGGCCCCAGCCGCGCTGTGCCTACGGGCCGGCCGACGCCGAGGCCAGCACTGCGGGCCAGGCGGGGCAGCGCCATGCCAAGGGATCCGCCGCGCCGCCGGCAGCGCGGAGGACTGGCCGGCGACGGGACGCGACCGTTTGGGAGCCCAACGGAACCGACCGCGGACGGTGCGACGCGAGGCCGCTTGAAGGCTCCGGGTACCGAGCGCCCGGCCCTCGCTCACCACACGGCTCAACGCGCCTCCCGCAGCACGGCCCGGCGGAGCGCTGCGCACGGGGCAGGCCGCGCCTCACTGCGCAGGCGCCGCTCGCCGCGGGGCGGGAATAGCGCATGCGCAGGGGCGGGGCGGGCGCTCCTTCGGCTTCGCTGCGCGGAGCGGGGCAGCAAAAGCGGTTCCGCTTCCTTTTTAATTTGGTGCAGCGGTAGGAAAAAAGTCTGCCGAAAATACGTGCAACGGTTTTGGCTGCGGATCGATTTTGGAAACTTTTCCCATGCAGTCAATTCCTTTTCTTTACAGAAGGTTTATTATACGCTTTAATCACTGCCTTTTCCGGCTCCTTTTCACCGTTTCGGAGCCAACTAAAAAAAATGAACGAGGGATTTTGTTGTGATGTGCACCATTAACAAGATTGCTTATACTCTTAATGAACAACATCTGCGTGCTTGCTCACTCCAAACAAATAGCAGTTGGGTCGCTGGAACGTTTACAGCGGTTTGGGATGTGCGGGAGTGAAGCTCTGACTGCGCGCTGCCAGCCCGAGCGCACAGAGCGCAGAGCAGCGCAGCGCTGGGCTGCCGTCGTTTCCACAAGGAGGTGCTTACAACAAGTTGCCAACAAAGTCCTTTACTTTGCAGAAATTGCAAGGTGTGCACAGCATCGTTGTCTGCTTTGAGACAGAAGACAAAACAGTTCCTCGATCCGATCCTAGCTCCTATCTCTAACAGCGTTCCCTGGGCGGAAGGAACAGTGCAGTGCTGAAGGCAGAGTGGAACAAACTGTACTCTGTAAGAGTTGTGATCCCTTTTACAGCTTGAAATAGAAAGAAGAGACAATCCTAATCTAGTTACAGTAAGCTGAGCAAGATGCTGATACACACTCCTTCGCTTCTCTGTTTTTCTCTTAATCAAGAAAACAAATCAATAGGAAGAAAAACAGCCCATATGCAAATAGGCATTCATATCCATCCACTAAATTGCAATTTGTTTGGTAAATACACTCTGGAAAGATAATCTGATGAAAGAGAAGTTAGAACTTGGATTTCAGCCTTCATTTTAGATGCTGCCATAATTTCCAGCTAAAAGAAATAAAAAAGGAACTAATTAATTTGTGATGCTGTAACCGCCAGACCCAAACCCAGGGGTAGACATGGACTTTCTCAATCGTGCCCTTTTTTTTTTTTTTTTACAGTTGCAAAAGCTTTCTGCTATACTGAGAGTTTATAAGAATAAGAAGGAACAGGACTGCAGGTGGCAGGATTTGCCCTGTGGAAGTAAGAAATAGGAGATAGGTTTGTACAGACCTCTTTTTTCCACGCTGGCTGACAAGCAATGTAAGGCCTCTTTTGTAGACTTGTTAACTTGTTTTGATCTTGCTTCGTAAATGGAATCAGGACATCTGCCCGTATGTTTAATCTGAAAAGTAAATAAAGTTATTACATTTTCTCATGTATTTCAGAAACACTGATTTCCAGTTACTTCTTTACAAGCCAGAATAATGGATGAAAACAGCAAACGATATTGGATTCAAGTGTTGCATGTTGGTTTTGTTACTGTGGCTTTGTTCGTTTGATGGATTTAGTCACATTTTATTTACTGTCTATGAAAGTTTCATTCCTTCTGGGAAATAACTAACCTCTTGAGATCAGACGGAAGGAGACCAAGCCACTTTATGCATGGAACGGTGAGCTGGTGGGCCTCAAAAGACATTGACTGGAATAAGAAAAGCCAGCTGTAACATTCAGAGACTTTTAGTTAAATCCTTTGAGATAGAAGCATTTCTTGGCTACAGTCAGGTTGCATAACAGGGTTGGTTGGCTCTTCTCTCTATCAGAACTTTAGAGGAGGAAACTGGAACTTACCACACCCCATTGCTGAGAACAGTTTCTCTTTTATGGCTTGCCACCTTCAGCCATGAAAGATTCTAGATTGGTGCATTCTGTTCTTTTTATCTTGTGGTTTTTGTTTGTTTGTTTGCAGTCAGCCTGAGTTTGATTGCCAAACAAAACTGAAGCCAGAAGAAGCAGTGACAACTACGACTGGAAATTCCTGATATTCCCTGCTACAAGCACCACATTATATATAATCAGTGAATTTCGCTGTGTAAGATTATCAGAAACCCAATAATCTATTTTCATCCTGGAAAATGCTGTTCTCTCAGTTTACACACATTGCTGGCAGAGCTAAAATCCTGGCAGATCACCTGAAAACATGAGTTCTGTCTCCACTGGGGTCCCTGAGGCATGTGTTATAACATATTCTTGAGCCTGGACAACAGCCATGACTGTTTCCAGAAGGTGGGGTTTGTTTCTTTGTTCGTTTTCTTTAGATGTTCTTCCTCCATCTCCCTCTTTCTCTCTGCTACCTGCCTGCCTTCCATATTGTCTTTCCGGACCCATTCTTTTAGTGATGTAATGCAGTGCCTCTACTTGTTACCCTTGCCTTTTCATCCATAATATTCCACACTAAAATATGTATCCAAACACAAATTCTCACCCCAAACCAAAACCTTCACCAACACAACACGATTCCTTGGAGGACCGTGCTGTTCACCTATCTCACAAGTTATGTCCTTTTCCTCCCCAGCTTCTTCCAGCCATCATTTGTCTTCCATGGCAGAAACAAAGCAAACTGGAAAATGCTTTTCCATTTGGATTTCCTGAGAACTGCCTGCGTAGCAGGAAGAAACTGAGATACAGTTAAACGAAACACCTGACATTGTTATCCAATTTCTGTTTGTTACAGGAAGAAGCTCTTCTTGCAGATACAAAGGCCTAAAAATGGTGCCTGTGTTTAAAGAAAATAAGGAGAGGTAGTAACCATTCTAACTCATCGTGCATCCAAACTTCAAGGCTGAATTCAGATCAATATATTTAAGTGGGAACTGATACTCACCACAGATCCATATTTGTAGATACACATTATTTCCACACCTGGGTTCAAGAACACCAATTGTCAGGTATCTGTTATCTTCACACTGGGAATGCTTATGAAGACTGCTTTAACAATTCACTTTTATGGCATAACAGTGCAAAATGAGAATCAAGGTAAATCTTGCTTTCTTCTTCTATTAGAGAGCTACAGACCTACCATGTGGATCTGCATCCACAAGGGTGAAAATAGGAATTTGAAATGTATCCCAGAGCTTTCTGACCAGAAGTCGTGTGTTAAGATCTGGTATGCCTCTTCCCTAAGGAAACAAAATAAAGCAGACAGATTTAAATTAATTAAAACAACATCTGGCTACATACATGCTTACATTTGCCAATTAAAACGTGCAAACAAAACGCCTGCAGGAAAATTTCTCCAATAGGCCATAAGCATTAAGAGAAAAAGGCTGCTTTTTTTCCTTCTCAAAAGCATTTGTAGCACTAAGGAAACAATGTAAAACAAGGTGCATACGGTGTGCTACAGAGTGTAAGTGCTTCTCCATCTTAGACAGGGGCCCAAGCCTCTTCCTCACTGCTGGTCCCAGAGCACGTAGGTGTGGATATTTACACATCCCTCCTGTTCTTAATCAACTAATGAATTAATTACTTGTGCAAGCTGCGTAAATCTTTCAATGAGATCCAAAAATCAAACAGTTTGATTTCACTTGGGCTTGCAAAGTTTAGGAGCATGGAGAACAACAGCGGGGCCTTGTGTGACTTTGCAGCACCCGGATGAGTTTGATCAGCTTGCAGGCTCTGAGAGGATGGCTGGAGCAAATAAATCTTCATAATGTTCATTTTGTGTTTTCATTACCACTCTAATAAAATGGTACCAAGATGCTAAGGCACACTGTCTTATTACTGCCTTTTGGCCAAGTTTGAGCAGCATTATGAGGCTGAGGTACCTTGTAAATTCTGATGTCTAACAGCAATACGAAATGTAAACTCGTACCGTAATCATTATACATGGGGCCAATTTAATGCAGAACTCATCATCCAGGAGTCTCTGGAAGGTTGCATCTTTTTCTACAATTAATATGAATTTGGCACGTGAATATAGATCTTTTATGTTAAGGCTACCTGCATGTAAGACAATCCGTCACAGCAACCCATTCAATCTGAATGTTCTAAAATACTTATTCTGGAGCCAAAAGCAGCTCTTGACTCAATTCTGGAGCCAACAGGCAGGGAAAAAATTACCAGAACATTGTTTAACTTGGAATATTCTTTGTTTTTACTTTATTTTTTCAGTCCACACTGAGAGTTTCTGCTCAAAGGATACTTTTAATTCCTTGAACGTTAGATGGCACGGTAACTGCCTAAAACAATAAAAACCAAACCAATAATTTATGATAGAGAAAAGGATATGTTTTAAAATAACAACATTAGGTAATGAAGGACACCATTACATCCTAAAACAACCATTCATCTCCTAATATGCAAGATCAGCCTTGACACTTTCCCTGCTTTGTAGGTACATTCAACCTTTGTATCCTGCTCTACTGCACACTTTTCTGAAGTGCATCTGTGCTACTGCTGCAGCTCAGCTCTTTGCATGGGCTGTACAGAGAAAACAATGTCCTGATTCATTTCACATCTCTTTTAGCCAGAAGAAAGGTCAGCTCAGTGCCAATTTAAGATTGCAAATTTAATCCAGGTTTAAAGCGTTTGGGCTTTCTCTTTGGAAGACCATTTAATCCTTTCTTTTATTAACCTGTAACCTGCTTTTATAACTATATTGCTGCAACAGTTTAAGGCACAGCAATGTTTACATCTCGTATTAGGATTGGGTCAATCTGGCAAGCATATGGATAACAGAGCAGGGACTGGAGGAAGAACTTGGCAAAAGAACGTGTCTATATTGAAGTGTGTGGTCTGTTTTTATTTCTGACTGCTAAATCACCTCTGGTGCCAACAAATAAAACTATGAAGAGCTGTAGAAGAGTATTAACAACGGGGGCCTTTACACTTTGCTTAAAAACAAAGCATGATGGGCAGCTGAAGCAATCTTTCCATTTGGGAGTGACCAGATTAAGCTTACAACGAGCACATCTGTCAGGAAATCGTGACAGCAGTCAGCAGCCACAGTTCTGCTTCCACTTTCATAACCTGAACAGTGACAGCAATCAGCAATTCCTGGCTGCTTATACAGCTGTGGTTATAGACTTCTCTGTAGCTCAGTGTCACCTCTGATAACATCAGTTGATAATACAAGCCCTTCTAATGCTTGCAAGTCCTGTATTAGTGATATTCTGAGACTAAATATCCTGATGTTACATTCACAGATCTTTGCTTGTACATCATTGGGCACATGATGAGAATATTACCTCTTATGCTAATAGGGCATTACTATCAAACTTGTGTAAATGGGAACATAGTTTGGGTCCAGAAGATAATTACTCCTCTTACTGTGATGGCTCAGTTTATTCTTTTTTCTGTTTTGTTGCCACTAAAGAAGTTAGAGAGGGTGAGTGTCAGTTTAATAAATGGAGCAACCTGAGCTACATGAAGTGCAGGGTATCACACGGAGGTAGTTGATCTATGTGGGTTCCTTCCAAATGCAACTGTTCTATGTATTCTAATTACTGTTAGTTATTTAATACATACTGTTGCACCACTGGTACAATTCACTTTTGTACCATCTTCCTCAGTGTAACTTAAATTACCAGCAACAAAACCTTTACTCGTAGACAGCTGAAAAAAAATAAAAAGTTGCATAGAGTAAATTGGAAATAACGTGCTTTTATGTTACTGTTACTGAATGGGCAAACCAAGAAACCTCTGGAAAACATTCCAACTGGTAACAAGCTGCTATCGGCGGCCATCGACCTCTTAAAACACACAGCAACGTTGTTGACATCATGGATATAAAGGTGGATTTGCAATAAAGTACAGAAACAACTGCATTTGTGTATACAAAATAATTCTTGTAAAGCATGAGATGCAGGAAATTCAGATGGCTGTATGTCTGACTCACTCGAAACTTCCACTTAAACCCCACGCTAGGAAGTCATCTCAGTATAAACTGCAAAGCAGATGCCTTGCACTCTGCACTGCCTTCCCAGGTAATACAAAAGGCCTTGTGATCTTGGCTAGCACTTTGTGCCACTCTTGGAAGCAAGCAAACTGTATGAATTTTCTCTGAAAACAGGAAACCTTTCAAATGTTACGGTAGAACTTAATCAGGTGTTGTTGATATTTCAGCTTCACACACTGCCCATATGATTTGGAAATGATTACAGAATAAAAGCAGTAATCATAAGCCACTTACAATGTGCAGACTTCTTCGAGGTATCTGAAGCATGCAAGAGATTTCATTGATTAAATCGTCCACAACTCTCTGGCTACCAAACAGGAGTGTATCTGAGTAGTATATATCTCTGTCAAGACCAAAACATGTAATTACAATATGAATTACAGTACTGAAAAAGCTAACAGGCTGTCAGAATACAGAGTAACACTCAGCTGAAGGCATGGGTAATCAAACCACTGGAAAGATTTCCCACAGAGAAATCTGTTATCTGAAAGATTTGCACCCCACTCTGCTTCCCCAGCAGCGCTCCTAAAATACAACTGCATCTGAAGCCACAGAAATGTCACATTACCTTTTAGTTGCATACGAATTGCTCTGCACCATCTTATAGATCATCGATAATATTTTGAGCATCATAGCTGAAAAAACGCATTACAAATTCATTGTTGTCAGTGCTCAGAAATGCACATGCAATCATTTGTATTTATGTTGACTGATATTTGTGTCTCATACAATAAAGCAGTGAAGCATGAACACAACCTGTGCACGTATTTTAACACGGTGTGAAATACTGAGAGATGGCACCAATCAGTGGACCCAGTAATTTCTAGCAGCTAGAGAAAAGTGCATATGAAGGAGCTGAGTGAGGGAACACGTGTCCTGCTGTCCAGACGAAGAAATTCATTGCCTGCTCTGGAAAAGTAAAGTGGCTTATTGTCTGTACTCCAAGATTCCTTTCCCAGCTGGCTTTTTGGAGGAGGGGGATGTTTTTACTTGTAGACTTTGCGAATATGCTTCAATCTGACATTCAGTCAGGCACCATAGAAACTGTAACAACACTATAACGCAACAGAGAAAAGCTGAAGGGCTTCTTATTAGTATCAGTTTTGTTAGTCTTGTAGCACACAGGGCATAATTTATGTCTTTTACAAGGTTTCAAACTAAAATACAACAAAAAAAATTAAGAATTCAACTTTGGAACTTACCAAACTTGGGTGCTGTTGCAGGGCAGTCGCTTCTGATTTGTTTTGTAGTGGAACGAGGAATCATTTGTAGACCTACAGAATCTTTAAATCTGACACATGGCAAACAAATGCAATAGAACTGTCAGCTTACAAGTGAGGATATGTAAACGATTTTATCCCAGATTGCTCAGACTGAGAGCCCTCTCCTAAAGTCAAAGATGCTTGTTCTATTTTCAGACATGGTAGACTAGCAGCAAACAAATAAATAAAGGAAAAAAAATGTCATTCATTATTAGTATTCACTTCAAGTCTAACATGCAGTAATTTTCTGATGTACAACATACAAGAAAGTGCAATTATTTGATTTTACAATTGTATGATCTAATTTGCACCCTCAAATTATTATCAGAATAACTCAACTCGATTTCATTGTTGGAACTTTTGGAAAGAAAAATGTGGGGCACCCTAATCTCTGAACAGCTGTCCCACCTAAATGATCTGCACCATTTCATTTGTATCTGAAGGATCTCTTCAGAAGAGACAGTGTTTCCTTTGCACGTTTTGCTGTAGTGCCCTCAGGTACGACAGCCTGCCTACACAGCACTCACTTCTGCTTTAGAACTCCACAGGTGCTTTTAAAAGCACTGACGGCGAGGTGACCATCATTTGATACAAAACCACATCAAGTTTCTCGAAGCCTTCCTTTGCTCCTCACAGCCTTTGGGTGGCAGAGCACAACCAGTGCAGCAGCAGCTCCCTGTGCTCGGCACTCACTGCAGTGCATTGCAGCACTGAGGCTGCGCGCTTTTCGCTGCCTGCTGCCTGCATCAGATCTGCACGGAGCAGCAGTCACCTCTGTGCTCCATTAAGGTCACTAGGAACACTTCTTCTAGAGAACACCCTGCCTAAGAACCAACCCCACAGCCCTCACACATGGCTCACAAGGAAGGCTCAGCCCAGCTTGACAGCCTGCACCCAGCTGTCCTTCCTGGCCTTGCAGAGTTCCCTGCAGAGTAGCTTTCTGTAAAGCACACATCCTGCTTTAGGCCTGGCATTCTCATAGGTTGACCTCATTCCCAGGTAAATCTCTCTCTGGGTATCTACAAATGTTTTCACTCAATGGAATGCCTATGCAAGTTTCCATTTCTCCACCATAAGTAATGGTTCAGCTTTTTGAATTTGATTGATGTGCCTTATTTTTAACAAACTGTGATGCTCTTTTCATTTGAACGTTTTCCCTCTGTGTGTTCTGATGGCAAATTACACCCCACGTCTGTTTTCCCAGCCCAGAATGGCCGTTCCCCTGAGACTGCCAAAGATGGCAAAGCTTTGTTATAATATTTTCATTTTACAGCCATTGAAGTAAAACATTTGTTGTCAAGCCATCAGGACACCAAACACTGCATTCACTGGGGCATGCAAGTGTTTCAGTTAGCTAATTGCCTTTGGGACCTTCACTTCTTTGATGGACAGAAATTTATTGTTCTCATTGAGTATTCCACTGAGGTGTAATGCATGGAAGGTCTGCTATGCTTTCACAACCTCCAGTGTTTGTAACATGTCCACATACAAGGACCTCTGCAGTCAGATTGATCTAAATATCCTTCAGCTCATGGGTGCCCAAAGCTATTATGAGATAAGGGACAGATCCATGCCTTCCTTTATCCTTTTGCTTTCATGCTATAAAAAGTAATGGATTTCTCATTCTCAGTTGAATTTCATGCCTTGGAAAAGTACTGCTGCATGGACTTCTACAAAGCTGTGATATAAAGGACGGGTTGTTCTTTCTCTGCTCCTGCCTAGGTAAGCTGGCATGAGATCTGAATTTTAGATAACATTGCAGAATCTGGTTTTACTTTATTTGGCAAATAATGGACTGAAGATAGTGCATGGACACAGCATGGGAGTAAGAGAACGGTAGGAGCTGGCAACCACCTTCTTTGAAGGATAAAAGGAGGACAAACATTGCTACCATTTGAAGAAATAAGGTACCATGAAGACAAGCAGAGGAAAAAAAAAAAAAAAAAAAAGAGAGAGAGAGAAAGCACTGCAAATGGATTGGTAAATAAAATTGTGAGTGAGAGTTTCCAGCCTAAAACAGTTTTCCTTTTTGTTTAATCAAACACAACGCACTATTTCTGTTTTCTACTGCATCTAGAACGTATCTGGCTATAGGACCTCTTTTCTTTCTCATTCTTTCTACAGAATTTTACATTCTCCTTTATGCTATGGCCTGCTCTTCAGTTAGTGCACGATGTCTGCTCATGCGTCACTTTGCCTTTGTACAGCAGTTTTTCAAGAAGCTGAATTCTGATTCTGATAGAACAACGTCAGTTCAACTTTTGTGGAAGTTATAAAAGCATTACATTTGTGCCATATATATTCATGTCAGGCAAGACTTCAAAACACACGGTACTTACTCTACGTTCCTCCAATCTGATCTATTAGCCAGCGTGAGAACAGGTGCTTGTTTTTTGGCCAAAGTTTTAAGCACATCTAGAATAACATTTTCTATTGCTTCAAGAACTTCAGAACTGAAAGAAAGAAAACAATTAAGCAGTTCATATAATTTAACACAGTTCTACTTTGCGTTTCGATAATCTATCCTCATCCTTCCAGAAATCACTTAATTCAAAACTTCTTCAGGCATGTACACACGCACACATATTTGTATACATACACATTTCAAAGCCTTCTTTGTTTTTGCATGTCCTTCTCCTTAGTTTCCACATAAGATTTGACTTTCCATTCCAGATTCATGACTGAGAGCACAATTAAAAGTACATTTCTATTCAACCCTAAAACCAGTGGATTTTTCACCAGCTGAGCTTTCAGAGCAGCTGGCTGGTTTCTGATTCATGATTAATGCTTTACTTCAAATGATGTAATATTGGCCTTGGCCGTGATTTGTGCTAAGTTGTTTTTAAATGCTGTGAATTCAGAAAAAAAGTTCAACAGAACAAATCCTTCCTGTTGTAGCCCTGCACATTAACCTTCTGATCTGTTGCCCTAAACAAACTGTTAAGGGTTTTAATTATACAAGGGCTTGGTCTCAGCAGATGCAAAGAACAGAACCTGCATCTTTCACCTAAAAAGACCAAGTAACCTCGCAAGCAGATGCATTATATCCAAACTTTAGGCTGCTCTGAGTGTTATGACAGATGCTCTTTATTTTCATAAGCAATCTGACACCAACATTTCAGCTGTCCTTACCATTACAACTCTGTTAAATGCCATCATAAGCGTAGGTGGGATTGAAGAGTAGAAAACCAAAAACAACAAGCAAACAAAAACTTACATTAGCACCAGTATCAGCAAAGACCTATTTTGTCAGTAAGTAACACACAAAGACAAGTAGTGTAGACCACACTAATTATCCTACCGTTACAAAACCAGTAAGAATAATGTTTTAAACCTTGCTATGAGTGTCCCTAAACAACAACGGGGTGTCATTAAAGTTCTCTTCTGTCATCTAAATACATGTCTTCCACTTTGTGACTCAACTTGCACTTCCCCATTGTTTTGCTAAGTCAAGATTCTCATTCTTTGGGAACGATTTCTGGGAAGTATTAATCTTTTCTTTTAAATTATCATCATAGTATCTGTATATAACACAAACCTACTAGTAGTGCTGATTTTTTGTCCATTAAGATTAAATCTGATCACAGAGAGACAAGATTTCCTGACTTCCAGACTCACGGTCTGTTCCTTCAACACAAGGTCCTACCTATTGCACATTATCCAAAATAGCAGTTCTATAAAGCAGAGGGAATGGTCAGCTGGTAAGCTAAACTATGTAACGCAGTGAAGGGTGACAGCAGAATAGAAAGGCTAAGGTGAAGAGCAAGTTAGCAAAAACTAGAGTTGAAGATAACAACAATATGTATAAGCAGATGGATGAATGAATGGTTGGGTTGGTGGTAAATCTGAGCCACGTCATTGCTCTGATTCTTGTAAGTATTTTACATATTCACGTGGTTCTGTTCACTGTCACTGGCCGAATATTCCATTTGCACTTCATGAACATGAAAGCCCAGGCTGCTGTTCCCACCCGTTTCTCAGTGTTTGGCCAACGCAAGCTGTAATTGCAACAAAATATAAAGAAGAGGACAGCAATTCTATTTGTACCCCTTGCTGATATTCCCCCTCCCTTCGCAGAGATAAACCGAGTTTTCATAAGCAAACATGCAGCACTGGCCAAGTGTGCCTGCATGACGTTCCCCATGGTTTAGCTAACACTGCGACGGGGCTGAGGGCAGCACTGTGCCACACAGCATTTCTAACTGTGAACAGACACAGCTTCTGTACAGCACAGGCAGTGATCTTGAACATTAGGAGCATGTAAGACTCATTTCATAGCACAGCATGCAAGTGTAACATGACTATACAGAAACAGTTACCAGTAAGTATCTGCTCTGTGGTAAAGCAATGCGCTCCAAGCCCTGGAGCTGCAAACTGAATGCTAGAAGCACGCATTCCCCATGCCCTGCCACAGAGACCGAGAGCTCTCCGCTATTATGATTATTATCCTTTTCCTCTTAAGATAGCCCTGCGATGCTCCCTGTCTGTCATATCATGATGACACTCGATGTGTTTGTTGTCACTGTTTGCTGCACTGCTGTCTGTACAAATTTGCTGGGAAGTCTGAGGAAACCCAGCTGCGCTGGGACAGTGTGAGAGCCGCTCTTTCCCGTGTCACAGCAGCACAGTGTTTCTCACTTTTGCACAAGCGCTGCCAATTTCACTCCTACCACGGAAGGAGCACAAGTGCAGCATTTCCCAGCTGTTACCTAGGGATGTCGCTGCCGTGAGCCGACGCTCTGGTTTCCTCACAGCCATCCTTGTGCCCAGGCAGCGCCTCAGCACCGCGCTCCTCCATGGCGGGCACTGCACACCCAAACTCCCTGGAAGGGTTGGAGCTGTTTTAAAGAGACTGCCAGGTTAGGAAAGGCTACTTTGGGGCGTAAAGAGAAACTGCAGGGGTAGCTGCTCAGGGAAAGCAGACATTTGCTGTAGAGCTTGAGTTGAAGAACGGCTTTTCCTGACTGACCGAGGACTTTTCCCGCCCTTTCCAAGGGGAAAGTTGGCCCCACCCTTCCCAATGGATGCAGCCTTTCCCGCCCTGACCGACTGACCCACAGACTGACCGACCCACAGACTGACCCACTGACCGGCTGCAACTGACTGCCTGACTGACCAGGACTGACTGACTGCATTAGCAACTGAAGCCAAAATCGATCTTCAGGGTTGCTGTACCTCAGCAGCTGTTTAAGCAAAGCCCTGCAGCACCCAGATCCCTGCAGGCACTGCAATCAGTGCAACCATTGAGCACAAAATGGCGGCATGGCTCATCAACACTTTTCTCACCCTTCCTGAGCAACCAGTGATTTCTTTCTTCCTCCAGCACCAAAAGTCTCTTCCTGATTGCTCTCAGTAGCTGGAAGAAAGCTGAAAGCCCCAGTGCCAAGCTGAGAAGTCAGTTTCTTTTCTCTAAATGAAATACAGCTTTGTTTAATACTAATTTTATAACTCGCCTCCAGTGTTCAGAGGATTTAGAATAGAGTTGGGATATGTTTTCATGTTTTTCTCAATGCACTGTTAAAAACTCGTGTTCAGAAGAAATACTCAACCTGCAGTGTTGGAAGCTGAGCTTTAAGGAAAAAAAAAAAAGCTGAATATTGTCAGACTTTTGGCTGCAATGGGCCATGTGTGATTCATGTGGAACCATCAGCCACAGGGCATCGCTTCAAAATGGACGACACACAGCTAAACTGTGAATTTGAAAGGAAACCCCACATGTCTTTATTATCTTGGCGCGTTTTGCACCATTTTTCTTTAGATATTTGCCTCTTTCCTGCCAGAAATTCAGAAGACATCATGAGCTTCGAGAGAAGATGCAGAACTTCTGGGGGAGCAGAACAGCAGAGCAGCGTGCGCCCATCTTCTGCTCAGTGCAGATGTGCTGCAGTGCCCAGGATGAGCTGCATGCTCTTTCTGCTCTGTGGTTTCTGAATGCACAGTACAGGGACCCCCACTGCAGCTCTGCTGTAATGAAAAGCCACATTTGGGGATTTACACAGCTCCCACCTCTACAGCTACGGTAGGCCAAGGACTTTGAAGCTCCTAACTGTGTCAGAGCAATTGACTGACTGAAAATGGTCATTCTGTGAATATTAGTGGTTACTCAGGAGATAAATATCTTTCTGGAGAAAATAGTAGTGAGCTCAGCGCTGATAACAACTGCATTTTGTGCACAGCAGGCAGCAACACTGGAAGCTGTGCTGTGCCGAGCTCACTGCCAGCAGCACTTCCAAAGTCGCCATGCTTAGGCTTGTTGTTAGCAGGCAGACGACACGGGGCATAAAATGTTGGAGACAGCAGGTTGTTGCTGTTGCTCCATTGGCTCCTGCCTGTGAAGTTTCTTTTCTGGTACTCATGAGAGTAAGCAGTCCAAATCCATCCTGAGTAGGTAATTAAAAGAATCGTGGATTGACTGATCTGAGGAAGGCCCCAGGCCATTAAGATTCGAACACAAGGTGCTGCAGTTAGCAGAGGCAAGCAGAAGAAAGGGGAAATAATGAGTTGAAATTTTCAGTTCTTTCATGTTCAGTCTTTTGGCCTTTAGGTACCTTGAGATCACTCCGGAAATATTTACGGAAAAACTCCGTAGTTCTTTCCAACAATTCAACATCAAAATCAACAGATTTTTGTTTGATGTAGAACTGACAACACAATACCCTGCTCCTAGGGATGGATTACAAATGAAGCGATATATATCTACATGAGAGAAGATAATTCAATGACTTGTCCCTTCCCCGTAGCAGCAAACAGCAACTGGAAAAAAAGCAGGACCAAGATTCTCAGTGCTTACATCAGAATTAACAGAAAAGAAACTAAATATATGCATATAAATATGTAATTATTTGTAAACAAATAAGCTAGTATCCAGGATAATAAATGAACAACAATCAGTAATAGAACTAGCAGGTTTATTTCTGAAAGCCCTGTTTAATTATTCATTTTCACTCTATAAGTTCTCCTTAATTTTTTTTTTTTTTTTTGAAAGCATTTCAATTATAAATTCAGAATGCATTTTTATGTGTGTTAGAGGGAAAAGGACCAGGAAAACTAATCATAAACCATTATTAAATGTTCAGATGTGAAAAAGAGCAGTGTGAGGAATGCAGCAGCATGCGCACTTGGCTTGCTCCTACAGAGATGTGCAGCAGAGGGCACCACAGATGGCACACAGAACAGTGCTGCTGTGAAGTTGTTAAGTTCTACCCTGTAATTTCACAGCTTGGATAAAAAAAGGTAACACAGAAAAGTAAACGTTTGTTTTATGACAGCCGTTTCCCAGTAATTCCCATAAGGCTGCCTATTTGTTACATGTGTGCTCTTTTCAGAGCAATCGTGAGGGGAGCTCTGCTATGAGATAGTCTGTACAAGAGGTCTGATGTCGACTTCCAAGAATGTTCTGTAACTGCAGAGGAAGAGCCTGTCTGGATCAAAAACTACTGCAGTCAGTACATGCTACAGATAAAAGAGCGGCACAGAGCACAAATGTGCATGTATCTTAGTGCCAAGATATTAAACTGCTGGATACTAACGTTTCCTACATAAATCACCGCATCAATAGAATAAATAAACTCATGTTATTTCCTTTTCTTTGTTGTATCAAAAGTTGCTTTCTCTTTCTACGTGCAGCTAATCACCTACATTCAGCTCACACGATTGTAGCAGAACGTATTTCTCACCAAAGGTCTGTCCTTAATTCTTTCAGTGGACTGGCTGGCAACCTATGGATCTGACAGGTTTATTCTGAGTTAACATGAAATAGCATGGGAAATCCAGCACCTCACTCACACCTAAAACAAAGACAAACCTCTCCAAACTGTAGTGATTCAGGGCAAGCAGAAGTGTTTGGATCAGCAAAGAGTCTCAAGGAGACAGACGAAAGCTGAAACACTGCAGTGAGAATAGGAAAAACAAAATCCCCACTGGCCATTTAAGAGCTTGCCTTAATGCCTACCGTGTTTCCTTCAGTCTCTTGCTGCCTCCCTTGGCTGTGGTCTGGACAATTGCTGGAAGGACGGGCATTCTGTGGGCCAGCAGATCTTACTGTGCAAAGTTAGGATGTAACAGGTGCCAGATGTAACATCTGCCAGTGAACACTGAACACTGAACGTTACTGATCTTCTAATGAGCGAAGCCTGAAGGAAGAAGGGAAAAAAGAGAAGAATGGCCATTCTTTGCTAACAGCTAATAACCTCAAAGGGGACAGCCCCTTCCAACCGATGCGTTTGGGTTTTGAAGAAACAAAAAAAAAAGAAAAGAATTGCTTAGATGTTTTCAATTTACCTGCTATGGAGGGAGAAACACCTGCTGCAATCTGTCCTGCAGAGAACCAAATCACCATGAGAGCAAGTGGGGATTTTTGTTACCATCTCTTCCTGTTGTTGTTTTGTTTTTCAGAAGCAAACTCCAGCAGGCCTTTCTTAAAAAGGAAAAGTGATTTTCATCTAGCTTCTCTTACAGGGATCCAACATTCCCTCGTGCTTTTAGGAGCAATAATTTATTTTAGGCAGCAGGACAGCTATCTGAGACAAAGAAACACCAAGTGAACTAAATAAAAGAATGTCTTTTCCCAATTCAGCATAAATGCCGTGAGAACTTCTTTGACAATAATTAAGCTGCAAACAGAATTATGTCTGAGCACTCAAATAGACAAACTTTATGTGCTGAGAAGTTTGAGCTTCACCAGCACTATCATAACCTTATATTTCAGTCCTTCACTGGTCTCCAAACTGCCCTGAGACCGAGACTCCAGAATATTGAGAGATTCTCTCTCTGGAATCCAAATCACTGCACCAACTTCCCTGTTTTAAAAGTGCTGCAAGGATGTAACTGCAAACCGTAAAAACAAAAGTACATGAATTTCAAAGGAAATCAGCTGTAGCAGCTCAAGGACTTGCAAAAGTTACATGGAAATAAGAGTAGGATTCTGTACTGGGAACTTGGACGTTCTACTGCTTTTATTATTCCTTTGAAGAGCATGTTGGGAGGGAATATAAAGTGAGAAGATATTTTGAAACATCCAAACCTCTGTGGAAGTGACTCAGCTGGAATAAAACACAAAGACTGCCCTGCTGTTGAATAACCTACTGGTCTCTCACACACAAGTAACAAATATAAACATCAAACTCTTCATCTGTCGCCTTCTGTATCAAAATCCCATGAGTGCTGAACTACGAAGGAATCAAGCAAATTAACAGCACCACCTTCTGCACGAACACCTGTCTGCTTCTAACAGAAATCAGCACCTCACGTTTACCTGTTACCACATTCTCCACTGCTAGGAGTAAAATGAGAATTCGGGCTGAAGCGTCCACGTGTCAGCTAAAAAGATAACAAGATCCGAATGGTGAGGGACTGCGGGGGGCTGGCAGCTCCCTCCAGCCTCCTCGCAGCCCCCAGCAGCAGCCAGCCCTGCTGTCTGACCAGCTGGGCTCTGCCAAACCCTCTGCCAACAGCAGCAGTGTTCAGGTGGCTGCACATCATCCCCTAGAAGCAGCAAGTGCATTTAATGGATCGATTTGTAAACATTTATATACTTGTCAAATTCCGAATCTGGTTTAGCTGAGCGTTGAATAAACATGTTATTAGGAAAAATTCCGATGATTGAAAAAATGTGTTAGAGGGAAAATATGTTGAAACAAAAAAAAAAATGAAAGACATTTGTGCTAAAATGTAACTGGAAAGCAAGAATGTCTTCTGTTCCAGCGTTGATGTGACAGTGTGAACATCATGGTCAATAGAACATATTCTTGGAAACAGCTGCACCATTTCCTCTGGATTAGGAAAAAGGTAAAATGTTGA